GAGAGAGAGAGAGAGAGAGAGAGAGAGAGAGAGAGAGAGAGAGAGAGAGAGAGAGATGTAAAAGCAAGAATATTAGGTAAAAGGTGTAGAAGGAAAGAATGGGAGCAAGAGAGAGGGAGAGCGTGTGAGACTACCAAATAATGTCTAACATTAATAAAAACGTCCAGTAATGTTAAGTCGTAAAAAAAGAAAAGGGACACGTCGAACGGTGACGTCCACACTGCAAGTCTAGTCACTCTAGTCGATTATACCTATTACATATTATGATATTATTATATTATATTATATTATTATTATATACATAGTATATATATATTTACTATAGCGCGTACGATTCTAGTCCGCGAGCTCGTTATGAAAACACTATTTATTAATACTTAGCTGCCTAAAATTAAAACGGGGAGTAGAGCGAGAGATTCGGGATCCACGCAGATCGACGGCGGATCCGCGCTCGTCGAATCTTTATCGACGGCACGGCCTCGATTGCATTCAACGCGTCTCATGATCGAGGTCGATCGCCGTAGCATCGAGAAAAACGCGCAGGTGTGACCGACGATGGCTCAATGGCGATTGATGATTAATCGTCCAATTCTACGATTGGTTCTCACTTGAAAAAGATATCTGAGATATCACTAAAGGCTCTAAGTAATATTACTAGAACATTAACGTTTCGAGACATTCCGTAACAACGTGGTCACGTCAGAATCTTGACTCCTGTAATTTTGTAATTGAATTAAAATAATGATATTAATCTGTGTTTGTAAAACGATATTAATCTATGTTTGTAAAATGATACTAATCTATGTTTGTAAAATGTAATTTTGTAAAATGTCAGAGAGAATGAGATATTTCTGATATCTCATGCATGTACCTCTTTATGTATTGTCAGTGTTTAAGCTACAAGTATTTTCGATGGCGATCGATAACGAAGTCGACCTATTAACAAGAACTAACGAATATCACGCGAATAGGGCATCTCCTAATTAACGTGCTAATTCTCATTTAAATAATTCCCGCTGATCTTACGATCAACTGCTCATCCGTTAAATCTTTTAAGTCAGCTGGCTTCGACAAGAAAGAAAAGAAGGGTAGGATTACTCGGAACTATCCGTGCGCGTAATAAAAGCAATGGGCGCGCACTTCTCAGTGTCTTCTTAATAATCCATCGGATTTGATTCATTAGGACAGAACGAGAAAAACCATAGGCAATCGATAAACGTGGCAACCGGCAGCACCACATGTATAGTCAGATTTATGGCATACCGCCATTACTTCTGACAAACGCATAAAAGAAGTCTAACGAGCTAACAAATGTGTCTCTATAGAGATCTTAGAGGCATGCACGCAACCTCGTCAAACCGGGGTCGTTATTCTCGCGCTTCCTTCCTCTTCTCTACTTTTTTTATGTTGAGCTGATTCGTCGACGCACACCTGCGTGTCTCGCGCGACTATGCGATTCACGCGCTCCGCCATATCTGGTACGAGAGCTCGTTTTAGTCACGAAGCTTGTATGACGATACCGCGATATTGAATCGGCGCGGTCGGTAACATTCAAGAATTGATTACACGTACACCACATACTTAGAGCAAATTCGAGATATAATAGACGTGTAACATTGTTACAATTTCATACACACACATATACACGCGCGCGCGCGCACGCACGCACGCACACACACATCTATACACACATACACATATTTTATAGAAGCAATATAACAAAAAAAAATAAATATGACGACACGTACGGTCAAAGCAATGTTTCGACACAACGAATTATATAATTATACATATAGAGGCGAACATCCGAAGTTTAACGAGCGCGTACCGATGATGTGCTTAGGCATAATGGAGAATGATCGCCCAATCCACACCGCCTGTGATCTACGTTTCGTTCCAAAGATGTCCACAGGAGAAATGAAACTCCGAAATCAAATTATTATCGGTTAATTTTAAAACGAAGTGACGCGATTGATTGTAAAATGATTATTTTCCATCTAACCGATGACAGCATTCTCTAGATTTATATTTTACAGCAGAGCTCGGCACACGTTGCACTTTCGATCGATCTTCGACTTGCTCTGTTCAGCGTTATTCCCCTTATCTCATTCTGCGCACAATCTGTGAGCTGCTCGACATTTGGAGCATATAACTTGTAAACATGTGTTTCTAGTGGACAGCTATTAGAAATATATGTTTACAGATCATATGCTCCTGAATATCGAGCAGCTCGCAGGTTTCACGCGGGACGATAAGAGGAATAGCGGTAGGTGGAGCAAATCGAAAATCGACCAAAGTGTGCAACGCGTGCCGAGCTCTGTTTTATATTGAGCGCGCGATAACACAACATGTGTGCAGTATATAATATTTAGCTTTATTATTTATTAATTTATGTTTTATTTGCGTTATACGACAATAAGATAAATTGCTTCTACTGACACACTAATTGATATTATTCGTGCAGAACTAATGTATCCCGCGCATTCTGTTGATATTGCAGGTTGCATTGTATCCGACATTTAATTACGTTCACGAAAAAACGATTAATCACGCGTGATAAATATACGCGTCGCACAGATATAGATAATAAATTATATCTGAATAAATTTGCTGTACTCTTTCGTAAGCGCGATCACGTAAATCAACGATTGTTGATTCCTTTGTAACACAATTTGTGAAGTTTTCCGTGTTTCGACATGCAGTAAAATCAATATTAAATTTGCGGCGTATTTAATCGTGGATTCCAAAATTATATTCTGTACATTTCGCCGGCTAGAAAGAACGGACGCGATCAAGAGGGGTGTGGACCCGTGCTTTAGTCACCCATAAACCGAAAGAAATCTCGATGAAGCTAACGATGTGTAATTATGACGCGGGTGGCGAGCGCGCGGGCGATCCGACCGATATTTTGCAACGATCATTATTATTGACACGCGATATAAAACGTATTTTGCATGTACAGCTAGAGAGAGAGAGAGAGAGAGAGAGAGAGAGAGAGAGAGAGAGAGAGAGAGAGAGAGAGAGAGAGAGAGAGA